AACTTGATACCACCAATAGATCGGCCAACATTAACATCAAAGTATCAAATTTATTAATGATGCATTTCTTCCCTAATGCTAGATCTATAAACGATCGCAATTAGTGCTGGTAAGTGTGTGAGGTGTTTAAAAGCGGCTAAAATGTTGATGATGAAAGGTGCTAACGTGGACATAAATTGAAGGCCATTGGATGTTAGCTGTTCAGAAGTTGTTGGCTTGCAAAAATGCATTAATGCGTCAGCTAATGGTTTAACTTGCTCGAAGCACAATACAAGATCAAAACGGCTGAAGGCACAATTACACAATTTCTGAATTAATTAGTAGTTTCGTGGAGGCGTCATCTATATAACACTTTTACATTTAAACACTTTTAACAACAAATACCAGATCATCGCATGCTTTTGACCAATTAAGTATTCGGTTGCACGACCCTACCCTAGCACTACCCAGGAATCAGCCCACCATTTAATTTTCGTTGTCCTTAACCCGCGCCCGGCTGGGGGTCCTGGATTTCCACGCCCTGCTGGGGGGGGGGGTGTTTGAACACCCCCCCTTCTAACTCGGCTCCTGGGACACGTAGCGACACGCGGAAGGCGGCGTTCGAAAGAGCGTCAAAAATAATGAGGAAATCACTTCAGTCAATTTTTTGGTCAGGTCAAAGGTCAGGTCACCAGAGGTCGTTGAAGGCAAAATTTCGCCGATTTCCAGGTCGAATGTCGACAATTTCCAAGAACCCAACGCATAACTTGGGAACCAATAGAGCTACAGCGTCGCGGAAAAGCGCATTCGATAGCCCTATTAACGCCCTGGCTGAGTAATTTTCTCAGATTTGACCTAACGTCAACGGTTTTGCCTGCAGGGGGCAAAAACTGCAAAAATAGCCGATTTTTTCGGAAACAGTTTTTCTGCAATAACTTTTGACCCAAGCTTTGTACAAACTTACTTTTACCGGCATCGTGTTCCTCTCGTCAAGACGCATCGAATGAACTATAACTTTACCCTGAAAGGTCAACTTGAAAATTTGACCTCAGGTCAAGGTCATGACCTGACCGGAAAGGGTCATGTTGCATATCAGTTGATCCGTATCGTCGAGCTGAACACATCTAAGGCGTTTTCATCGCTCTAGCATGCCTCTATCAAAAGTTATTTGCGAAAAACTGTTAGATACCATTCGTGACCTAAGATGACCTCAGGGCATAAACAGGGGTCACGGACACCATTTTCATGTTCAGTGTGTCTAAACCACTTGTAATTCAGTGTTTGGGAGTGTTTATAATGTCTTTCGTCCAAAGAGGCCCATTTCAATTTTCTCCCATTGACTTATAATGGGGAGGTCGCAAAATTGACCTGACCTTAGGTCATCGATATCAAAATTATGAGATATACATTTTGTACATGCTATGGCTCTTAGCAATCGCTGAAAGTTTCAAAGCGATCGGTCACTCGGTGTAGCTATGACAGACATTGAAACTTTTTATGAGGTGAGGTCACTTCAAGTGACCTGGTGACCTGACCTTGAATGACCTTGGTCTGAAATTTTTACAACATGTGTAGAATTGATGTATGATAAGGTGTACCAAAAACGGCGGCGCTCCGCGCCGCCGTTTTTGAGATATTCGCGAAAAACCACAAGGGGGGTGTTCAAACCCCCCCCCCCCCCAGCAGGGCGCGGGTTAATTTCGAGCCGAATCCATCGAGCCCGACGGCTGTCCACGCTGTAGTTCGGCCGCTGCGGCTGAAACGAGTCGGACTCTATTTGGTGTGCGAGGCTGGACCACCGGAACTCGAGGGCAATTTTACCGCAGAGCAGCGTCAGTGCGATGGTCAGAGGTTGACCTACCAAATCTGCCCGAGGCAGGGGTGGGGTGGGGGGGGGGGGGGGGGCGGGCGCAGTGTTCTGGCTCAGTCTCTCGGTTGTCTGCGCTAATCGGAGTTAGAATGGAGGGTTTTTGTTTGATTTGTTAACTACCAGTTTCGATATTTGTGCGATGCTCACCGCAGCCATTATGTTTATTTTTTTTTTTGTTATTGTTTCTGATTGAAATAGTGTAGGTACATCGCTTGGAAATGCATCTTATGGTGATAGTTGCAAAGTTCTAAGCTGAGGGTTCCGATTTCGTTTTATTTTTCTTCTGATTCGGCTAAGGGAAACAATAAACATTTTGCATATGAAAGAAGATTTTCCAGCTCATCGTTGCATTCAAAACTTGAAACCGCGACGCTTGAAGTTGCCGATCTTGGGAAGTTATGTCCGAATAACTGGCAACAAGTAGCAAGAAATCAAAACAGTTCCGTCACTTTTGCATTTTATTTGTCCGGCTAAGCTAAGGAATGCCGATCCTTTTCATATTGCATGATGCAGTTTGATTTTCGCAACACTTCAGGTCAATGATGCCTTTATCGACGTGTTTTACCTCGGGACCATCCCATCAAATATATTTATGGATACGATGCATATGTATAAGCATGTTCACTACAAATGATCACAGCAAATGAAGTTGTTTTGTGAGTCGCTATAGAACTGCCAGCTGACAAAGGCGTGGCCCAATTGCTCAAGATAGAATGCTTGCGATATCATGAGACCTTCTACGGAACCTACCGAGCGTACTTCATGGTTGAGAAAGATGGGGCCTGGGGGAAAAGATACAGATTCATAAGGAATGAGGATTATCAATAGACAGGTGTGACATATTATAGTGCATGTATGGCCTAAACTTTTGAATTCATTTTAAAAGGGGGAAAACGCAAGATATTACCCAACGTTTCGCATTTATTGCTTAGTCATATTAGTGGTCATATTGTCATATTAGTCATATTGCTTAACCCTATTAGTGGCAGGGGGGGGGGGGGGTTGTTTTTATCCACCCCTCAGGTTTTTCGGGAATATCTCCGAAACCGATGAAGCTACGATGCTGAAATTTTCTGACTTTTCCTAAAACTAAACTGGGCACATTCCCTGAAAATTTCAAGTTCATACCTTTACCAGGGGCGGCTCCAGAGCACTGGGAATTGGGGGGGGGGGGTCCTATTCGTGAAGCGAGTCATTTGGGGCGAAGATCACGATGCTGATGTATTATAACTGTATACACCAGGTTTACGAACATTGAATGAAAGGTATCATGTGATAACATAAACAAAGTTACTGTGCATCCTCTTTTGACACGTTTTTGCTATAATAGGCGGATCCAGGCGTCCAAAAAGGGGGGTTATGTTTTACCTCCCAACATAGGTGCCCTGACACCGCCTATGCATGACCAATACAATTGTAGTCGTTTTCTCATAAGAAAATTGTAACATAACAAGACCATTGCCACCCTTTTTAGAAACAGTACCAACAAAAACCTTATTTACTATACTTTTTGTGTACCCCCAATCTCAATGATCTGTATCCGCCTATGATTTTTGAAAATGCATATTTTTAGGATCCATGTGAATTCCTGGTTCATTCTCTATCGATCGGCAAAAGTTGCGTTAACCCGCGCCCCAGTGGCGGTCTCGGCCAACTTCGCCCTAGTGAGGGGGGGCATATGTTACCACCCACCTCTAACTCAAAAACTAAGAGGGCTAGAAAGACGCGGTAAAAAGCAGTCGATAGCCCTCAATGCGTCCGTTTGAAAGTATTTCGGTCATTTTTCACCTTAGAGCAATATTGGGGTCACCAGAGGTCATCAAAGGTCAAAATTTGCTAATTGTCATTATATTTTTCAGAAAACATGCCGCTATCTCATGAACTATGGTAGCTAGAAAAACGCATGGAAAAGCAATCAATAGCTTTTGAACTCTTCTTTTGAAAAAGTCATTATCAATATTGACCTCAGGTCAACGGTTTAGCCTCCAGAGGGCAAAAACTCCAAAAATAGCCGTTTTTACGAAAAGTGGTTTTCGACAATAACTTTCGACTACAAAAAGCCACGACATTTCTATTGCCAGAATCGTGTTCCCCTCGCCGAGACGCGTCGAATGAACTATAATTTGACCTTGAAAGGTCAACTTGAAAATTTGACCTCAGGTCAAGGTCATGACCTTACCGGAAAAGGTCATGTTGCATATCAGTCGATGCGTCTCAACAAGACAAACACAATGAGACCATCCCCAGCGTTCTATCTCTTTCCAATCGCAAGTTATTGGCAAAAAACTGTTTGTAGCCTCAAGTGACCTCGGATGACCTGTCTAGAGGCTATCAGCAAAAATGACGCCTTGGTCATCACGAGTGGTCTAAATCATTGTGATTCTGAAATATTTGGACTGTTCCGATGCGTACACACGGATCTAGAGGCATTTTCGTTTTTCTCCATTGACTTGTAATGGAAAGGTCACGCCACTGACCTGACCTTAGGTCACGGATATAAAAAATCCGAGATATACAAATTGTAGGCGCCCATAACAGCATGCAATCCACCAAGTTTGAAACCTTTCTGACAAACACTGCAGGCTGGACATGATTGCAAACTTTTTTTTAGGCCTGGTCAGTTAACTTGACCTGGTGACCTGACCTGACATGACCTGGGGTCAAAAATTTCACACATTATACAAAATTGATGTACCAAAAGCTACCCCAAGCGGCGCGGCGCTACGCGCCGCGGTTTTTTATTCACACGCAAAAAACGCGACAGGGTGGTAACATATGCCCCCCCCACTGGGGCGAAGGTTAAGATTGGTTCAGAAACCTGGCCGTGATAAACAGTCTAAAATGTATCTGCAATTTGCCCGTTTTTACCCGCCTCTACCCCCCCCCCCTATTGACATTTTTTAATTTTTATTTTTTAGAAATGTAGATCACGTTGAGCGAAATCGAATGCCGTTTGAATTTTGAAAATCGGCCCGTTAGATCTCGAGATATCAAGGGGGGGGGGTCGTAAACAGCCCCCCCCCCCCCTGCCACTAATATGGGGTAGCCAGGAGCCTGCCACTAATAGGGTTAACATGCATCGACTGTTTAGTGTAAGTATGCGTTTAGTCGCTAAAAGTTGGGCATGCTGATTGTTTTTCTGTTCTTACAGGCTATGCCAACCCGCTGAGAGACAATCGGACATTGGACAAAGAGGCACTGAAAAATATCTACGAGCCTTGGAGAAGTGTGCTCAAACTAACTCCAAGCCATCCAACCAGACCAGACTACAAGTAAGCATTGTCTTTCGCATTACATACATTGAATCGATGGTAACCCACTGCAACGCATTGAAACCAGAGCGCAATGCATGCCTAGTAACCAGTTGTATGAAGTTGACAATAGTGATGTAACTGTTTTCCGTTTGTATTATATTTCTGCTAATAAGCTTCAAGCGCTTATTCTGTTAAACATTTGTAAAATATTGATTCTTGAGCACACTTGGTACGCAATACAGGGACATTCAAAGTACTGGTGAAAATTATTTTTGAGTGTAGATTGAAGCTTCAATTTATCATGAGTGTATCAGTCTGTCAGCTTGAGTTCTTTCATGGTTGCAGAGAAATAATGAACAAAATAAAGAATGCGTCACGGGAGGACCCATTCAACGTTCCAATTCACCCGACCATTCTGAAATCAATGAAGGTAAGTCGCTGGGATCGTTGTAAAACTTTTGTTTCCGTAACGTTTTTAGAGCTTCTGCATACGTTTGATTTTCTTCATGTGCGAATTATCAACAATCCTGAGAGCGACAGAAGTCATTAGTATTTACTTTCACCGCGCACACTGAGACGTTACGCTGCTAAATGTCTTCTGAACTTGACCAGAATATTTACCAGGTACCCGTGTCTACTGCGCTTGACCTCATCTGTGACCTATGACCTGCGCTGCTCTTTTACGTTGACTTGTTATCAGTTGCCTAGGACGGCTGTGAATGACATTATACCTCCTGACTACATGCCTTCTAACGTTGATTTAAATTTTAATTGCAGTATCTTTTTATGTCAGTCGCCCATGACCTCACGTGCTGTGACCTGTGACCTTTGACCTTGACCTGTGACCTTGATCTGACACCAGGTGCCCGTGTCGGCCGCGCATGCCTACGACGCTGTCCTCATGTACGCCCGAGCTGTTACTGAAGTGCTCGCCGCCAAAGACGACCCCACCAACGGTACGGCGGTACTGCAGAGGATACGTGGCCACAACTTCATGTCACTACGCGGGTACACGGTGAGTCGGTTAGACAATGGCGCAGAGTTCTGAGAGGAAGGTGACAGAGGTGGCTGCTATCCCATTTAGCTTATGCGCACGGCGAGATTTGTGGTTGCTGCACCGCGATTAGATTAGCTCTTGCTGTTGCTGTTGCCATCATACATGCTCACAGACATTATCGTATTGGTATGCAAAGAATGTGGCATACATTTCTCGGGCAGAATCTACTCCTATCCCCTCATGCTGAGCTGACCCTTCCCCCTCCCACACAACTTAGCCACTCGCCACCGCAATACGATACGGTATGTGTGACCATCAATCTTCATGAGTGTGCTCCTTTATATATCTAATAGCCCTTTCCAAGGTGCCGGCCGAAAAGATCGCTGGTGGCATGTGCGCAGCGCGCGCTGAGGTATGCTGAGTGCTTATGATGATAAGTATTTTTCCTATGTGGTTTTTACCTATCCCGTATCCGTATTGACTGTGATATACCCGTGCTGTCTCGGGTTAGTTGGTGGAGATGCAGCCAAGGCAAATAAAATAGAAAATGGCGAATGATTTCAGTTAGCGATGGACCATTAGTGGTTTGGTGATGATATGAGCAAAATTACCCTCACAGGCTTACTTATTGATTCCTAAGACCTAAAATAAAGCATATTTCTTTCAGGATCCCCCAACCGTTTCTGAAAATCCACACAGCGGAACAATATGCCCGTGCGATGATCTGCGGCCGGTCCCCTCGCCATGTCCGCGCACCCCGTGACGATGGCCAGTGGCTAGTGCGTGCGCCGTGTCGTCTGACAGTGACCCGACAAACTGAACTCACACACGAAGAACATCATCACGAGAGGGACGCGGCTGCAGAATGACAGCGTATCATTTTGTTCTATACTGGTGTTATTTGGGTTTGAGATGACAGTGCTCTGGCATGGTGTTTTCCAGCGTGATGATTATGTCGAACATAATATCTATTGAAATGTCATCGGTGAATATGGGTGTCGTTTTACGTTCCTCTGGTAACGCCTGCGCACAAACTAATTATTCTAGTATTTTCACATGAAGTTTGTGGCGTTTGATGATTAAAATGTCTACGGTATCATAACATTAACCGTTGAATCCCCACCATTCAATTTCGAAAAAGGTTACGTCCGTGGATACACAGCTATTTCAATCACGCAATGCTGTTTTGAAAGCTGAAAACTAAATAGAGTATTACAAGGAATAATAACTGTTTTCGACACCGCTGAGGTCCAGCTTTGCCATCACTTGATGATAGGGCATGCTTTCGACAGTTCGTAAAACAAAGATGAGTGTTATATGACGGTAAGAACATCTACAGGTTCATGTGGATGAAAACGGCGACGCCGAGGGGAACTACTCGGTGGTGTCGCTGCTGCCAGATGAATCTGGCAACAGCACTCTGCCCTACCGGATGTTGCCAGTTGGCTATTTTTCTACCAAGGACGGTCAGAACACGTCTTCCGGGCCGGCCAGCGACCTTCCGGTGAGAAAATTGCGAAAATAACACCATCACACCGTTGGCCACAATTGCTAATGCTTCTTTGTGTTGTGTTTTGGTCAATGAATGTTTAGATATCTGTAACCAAATAATTTTACCCGTATTACTAAATTGTTTTATCGATAATACAAAACATACATATGTGGCAGTGTAACACAACCTTGTGTTCTGATTAAGTTCATTTGGTATTGTTTGTTTTGTTGTAGGGTTTCATTTCTTCTTTTCCTTCTTTTCCCTATTCAGCTTTCTTCTCACCCAGCATTCTCACTGTTTTCCACCCTTCTCACCACAGGAGTTCCGCTACCTGAACCCCAGTCAGGGCATCCAGTGGGTGCTGGGCCACCCTCCCGAGGCGCACCCACCGTGCGGCTTCGACGGCAAGCGGTGCTCCATCGACCCGGACCCCATGACCATAGTCCTGCTGACTCTGGCCGTGTGCGTCGTCCTGGTGGCAGCCATCTTCGCCTTCAGGTCAGTACAGTCACGTGACCGGTCAAAGTGGGGTCAGAGCTGAAGTTAGTGGAGTCACGTGATCGACGTGGATAGTGTGGTCACTGATCAGTGATCAGTCAGGCCACTGAGCTACGTGATTGGGGTTTTATATTGAGGCAAGTCATTGAAGTCACGTGGTCGTTTTGGACACACTGTTCGATCAGGCCAGTGGTTTCACATGGTCAGCACGTGAACTTTGTTCATTTAGGTCAGTGGAGTCACGTGACCAGCATGCGTAGGCTGGTCAGTCAGGTAGGTGCAGTCACGTGACCAGTGTGTTAACCCTCGCCGGCCGAGGGGGGGGGGGCGAGTGCCGCCCCCATAGGGTTTTTTTCGCGATAGCTCCGAACACGCTGGCGATAGAGGGCTGAAACTTGGCATACCTGACCTTTGATTCAAGCCGGATCTTTTGACACCAACCGCATTTTTGGGTCAGGTCAGGTCACTGACCTATGACGTCATAAGTGAACCTCTGCACGGTCTTCAGATGTCGCAACTTCGCAACGCCCTCACTGCCAGAGGAGATGTCACAGGGAAATGAAACTTGCAGGATCTAGTATCCATTATGAGTCTCACAACTTGAAAATCTCGGATTTTTCCTAAAGGTCATATGAGGTCAGGTCATTTTCGTGACCTCACCATTATAAGTCAATGGGGAAAAATGAAAACTGCTATTCTGGCGCCGGAAACGATCTCCAACTATTTCAAGCACACAGAATCGTGATTTGATGCACTCCTTGCAAGGTTAGATGCTTCACTTTTGCAATGTTAACCTTGCGTGACGTCATTTATGACGTCATCAAGGTCATATTAGTTTTTCATCAATAACTCTTGATCAAATTGAGCTAGCGAGTCGGGAAAGCCACCAATGGACTCAGGAAGACCTGCCGAATCGAATGATATGCAACAACATGACCCCTTTCGACCAACTTCGTGACCTTAGGGTGCTGACCTGACCTTGACCTGAGGTCAACACCCCAAGTTGACCTGACCCGAACAAAAAGTATATCATTCGACGCGCCTGAGCGAGGCGATTACGATGCTGCCAAAATCGCGGCTCTGTGGCCGTTTTTTGCGAAGTTATTCACCAAAAACTGAACCGTACCTTGGGGCACTTGACCTGACCTCAGAGGTCACCGGTTGACCTAGGACCTTAAAATCGGCTACCAATCTCTGCGTCTCGTTACGGCGCACACGCTCGTTTTTTCCGCGACGCGCTAGCTCCACCAGGGGCGAAACGGCGAGGGGGGGTCGTACCCGCCCCCCCCCCCCTCGGCCGGCGCGTATGTAGAAAACCAATAGGTCCGGCGAGGGTTAAGTTTAGTCTGTAAAGGTAGTGAAGTCGCATGTTCAGCGTGTGTTATTGTGATAAACTCGTTAGACTCACGTGATATGATCATTGTGGGCAGCCTGTTCGATTAGGTTAGTGAACTCACGTGACGCACATGTGAACTTTTGTTCGTTCATTTCAATGGAGTCACGTGATCATCGCCTGTTTTCTGATATTGATTATTTTGCACGCTACTATAACCCTAGAACGCCTAGGGGGGGGGGGTTGTATCAACCCCCCCCCCCCTGAGGTTTTTTCGAAGTGCACGCTAAACGGCTTGTCGTAGCGGGCTGAAATTTTCAATACCCTATGGGGCAACCTTTGCGCATCTTTTGCCGAAAAAAAATTGATCGGGTCATGTCAGGTCACGGAGTTATGACGTCATAAGAGGTACAGCCTCCGGCCGGATTTTCACAAACTGAGTGCCAACGCCCGAGGTTTCCTGCCGGTGGTACGGACATCGGTTGATGGATCGTGATGAAACTTCCCATGCATGTTGGGGCAAGTATTGGCTATCATATGGTATAAGAAATTTGACCAGGTCAGGTCAGGTCACGGAGCTATGACGTCACAAGAGGAACAGCGTCCGGTACTATTTTTGAAAAGCGCCCGAACCACTATTTTGCTAATTCTTGTCACCTCAATGGGAATATGCAGCAATATTAGCTTCTATAGGGAGCAAATGGACCTCCCAAATCCAAAAATACAATCAGATTTCAAAAATTTAAATTTTGATTTTTCGAATTTCTGCCGCCGACTGTGACCTTGCCGACTTCCGGCGCTCCCAACGCGCCATTTTTAGAGCTAGGGAAACGAAATACATACCAAACGATAGAGAATTGATCAAGGAACACGATAGTGAAGGTTTCAAGTCGATATCTCCCACCGTTTTGCCGCAATCGCCGCCGAAAGTTGAAAAAAGTCTATTTTTCCGAAAATTTGACCTTTGACCGGTCAAAAGTAGGTCAAATGTTGACCTAGGACCAAAAAATATACCACCAATCGCGAGATCTCGTTGAGAGCAATCCGTTGGTTTTTTCCGCTAAGCTCTACGACCTTCCGTTTCGAAACGCCAGGGGGGGGGTCGTAACAACCCCCCCCCCTGGTCGTTCGTGTTATGAGAAATGGCCTGGTCGTGCGAGGGATAAATTACATATACTTACTGGACTGGACAAAAATAATGGGCGATTGCCAACGCGAAACAGGAAGTTAAAATTTCATAGCCAATTCTGTTATGCTTAGCGGAATTAGACCAGACCTCACCTCGAATAGTCTAGGCGGTCTAAGTTGAGTGGCAACGATTCTATTGGAATATTGCTTTTTATTGAAAGTTCCTTGAATATTGTTGATTACTTATATCGTGCTAATTGATAAGTTATTTGGAAGTGTGAAATTTGCAATAAGCCAATACCTGAGCTGTCGGCATTTTAACTATGCCGCACACGGGCTATCCTGTAGCTGTTATGCATATCACTCATCCACATGAAAGGCTGACATCCCATTACAGTAGGTATATTTGTATCTTCCTTATCAGCTAAGCCTCCCACGCATTGAGATAACTAAATGTATGGCGCCGCTGCCAAGACATGCCAACCACGCGACGCGCGTCCACACATTTGGAGTCCAGGTCGGCCGCAGCCCTTTGATAATGATACGCTTTGATTGATCAACTAGGAAGAAGCCTTATGACGCTATTTGAGCACCACGCTATGCATGAAATTGACTCAATAATACACTTAGCAATTCAATCGAGCGCGACTTTTGATGAATTCTTGCGCTCCGTTGGTGCGGTTTAACCCTCGCCGGACCTATTGGTTTTCTACATACGCGCCGGCCGAGGGGGGGGGGGCGGGTACGACCCCCCCTCGCCGTTTCGCCCCTGGTGGAGCTAGCGCGTCGCGGAAAAAAACGAGCGTGTGCGCCGTTACGAGACGCAGAGATTGGTACCCGATTTTAAGGTCCTAGGTCAACCGGTGACCTCTGAGGTCAGGTCAAGTGCCCCAGGGTACGGCTCAGGTTTTGGTGAATAGCTTCGCAAAAAAACGGCCGCAGAGCCGTGATTTTGGCAGCATCGTGTTTGCCTTGCTCAGGCGCGTCGAATGATATACTTTTTGTTCGGGTCAGGTCAACTTAGGGTGTTGACCTCAGGTCAAGGTCAGGTCAGCACCCCCAGGTCACGAAGTTGGTCGAAAGAGGTCATGTCGCATATCATTCGATTCGGCAGGTCTTCCTGAGTCCAGTGGTGGCTTTCCCGACTCGCTAGCTCAATTTGATCGGGAGTTATTGACGAAAAACTAATATGACCTTGATGACGTCATAAATGACATCACGGAAGGTCAACATTGCAAAAGTGACGCATCTAACCTTGCAAGGAGTGCATCAAATCACGATTCTGTGTGCTTGAGATAGTTGGAGATCGTTCCCGGCGCCAGAATAGCAGTTTTCATTTTTCCCCATTGACTTATAATGGTGAGGTCACGAAAATGACCTGACCTCATATGACCTTTAGGAAAAATCCGAGATATACAACTTGTGAGACTAATAATGGATACTAGATCCTGCAAGTTTCATTTCCCTGTGACATCTCCTCTGGCAGTGAGGGCGTTGCGAAGTTGCGACATCTGAAGACCGTGCAGAGGTTCACTTATGACGTCATAGGTCAGTGACCTGACCTGACCCAAAAATGCGGTTGGTGTCAAAAGATGCGGCTTGGATCAAAGGCCAGGTATGCCAAGTTTCAGCTCTCTATCGCCAGCGTGTTCGGAGCTATCGCGAAAAAACCCTATGGGGGGGGGGCGGCACTCGCCCCCCCCTCGGCCGGCGAGGGTTAAAGGGACTATCCCACCTTTAACCCGGCCGGGCCCGGGGGGTAATCCCAACCACCGCAGCCCGGGGGGGGGGGCGTTTTTCGCCCCCCTGTCTAACTCCGTAAATAAGGGAGCTACGGAAACAAAAGCGATACCAAACGAAAGGTCCTTACGAGACGATTCTAATGCACCTAAAATTTTTGACCTCAGGTCAATTTTCAAGGTCAGAGGTCAAGGTCAAAGGCCAAAACCGGCACATGTGTAGTGATCTCAAAGTAAGCCTTCTAGAGGGCGGCAGGCTGCATCAAACCGGCAAAATTGGGTGTCAAACGAAAGAAGAGAATCTGAGGATTCTGAAAATGTGCTCCAAATCAAAGGTCAAGGTCAAGGTCACGCTCAAAATTGACCTCAAACTTGGCACTTTTTCGCACATCTTGCGTGCTAACTTCCAAGATGTTTTGAAATGTTTTGAGGCTTATCAGTTCCCTATTTGTGGTTCATCTTACGATACAAGGCTGCTCAAAGGTCAAGGTCACAGAAGAGTATCCCTGCTAGAGGCTATTTCACTGATTCAAGTTAGTAATAATAAATAAGACAATTTTGCCATCCGGAAGCTCTAAATGAAGGCTTAGAGGAACATAGATGCCAGATTCGTGATCAGCGGGTACAAATCCATCAGAAACGACCTTCAATGTGTCAAGGTCAACCAGAGGTCATTCGAGGTCACATGAGGTCAACATGAAACTTGACCTTTTCCGAACAAAATATATATCATTCGACGCGGCTTGACAAGGCGAATGCGATGGTACCACTGCCGTAGCTCTAGGACCATTTTTGTCGAA